AGATTGCAGTGAAAGGATGGTTAAATGAATTATCTCTCTCTCTCTCTCTTCTGTGTGTGCTTCTAGATTCCTGTCTTTTTAGAGCTACTAGTAGTAATGCCCTTGTTACTAGTAGCGATGCCCTTGTTGCTAGTAGCGATGCCCTTGTTACTAGTAGCTTACATGTGTTTTCTTTCTTTCGGTTTCGTTTACCTTGGACCTAAACAATCATTTTTTCAAATGTCCTTCTTGCTCCCTTGACGTTGCAGGCTCTGCGGGTGAAGGTGTGTTGGCAGAATTTCCAGGAGAGGTGTCATTGATGTATGGTGCGGAGACCATCTCGAAGAGCGACATCTCCAAGGCACCAAAGCGCAGGAAGTGTCGTTTGGTATTGTGGGAGACAACAGGAAAAGTTCGAAAGAAAATTACTAAATAATGGGTGCTTTACTCTTCCGGACAGCTTGTGCAGACTCAAGGAGATGTTTGAGCACATTTAAAGTAAACGAACGCATTCACCAACACAGTGCTTCGATAAAAACACCTATTGACAGACCACTTGGAAAACATGCAAACAAGAAGCTACTAGGGGCTCCTGGCATCGGTACTAGGAGCAAGGACGCTACTAGGGGCTCCTGGCCGTACTACTAGGAACAAGAAGCTATTAGCTTATTGTTTCTACTAGCTTCTTGTTACTACTAGTAAGGCACTTGTTACTACTAGCGATGCACTTGTTACTACTAGGAACAAGAAGCTACTAGCTTATTGTTTCTACTAGCTTCTTGTTACTGCTAGTAAGGCACTTGTTACTACTAGCGATGCACTTGTTACTACTAGGAACAAGAAGCTATTAGAAACAAGTGCATCGCTTCTAGGAACAAGAAGCTACTAGGGGCTTCGTCGCTCCAGTTTTTTCCACCCTGTCAGACGCATGCGGCCGTGGCGCAGTGGAAGCGTTCTCCACAGGGAGATGTCGGCTGTGTGCTGGCAGAGGCGTGTGTATTTCTGAAGGCGTCTAAAGGTCCAAAAAGAAATTAGCAATAAACAAAAGAAAGAGAGAGAGAGAGAGAGATAGAAGGCCTAGTGAGTCTAAAGAAGAAAAAAAAAATATATATATATATATGTGTGTGTGTTCTTATCATTTTGGTTGCGTATGACTTACTACCGAGGAATGGATTGAATTCTTGTTTAGCTGCAAGAATATTAAATACCTGAAGTCTGTTGCTGGTTTTTCTTTGTCCTTTTCTTCCGTCTTTTTTTTGGTCTTTTTCCCTAAAGCAGGTTGAGAGTTCGTCGAGGCCAATGGTGTTCCATCCTCCCCACACTCCAAAAGCTTTTGAACGCTTGGCTTGCTCTCGCAGGAATGCACTTTGGAAGTGAAACATGAGAAGAACGTGCAGACTGAAAAGCTAGAGAAGGGCTGCTACGTGAAAGTGTTGCATGGTGCCATGGCTCAAGAGTGCCTGCTCAACACAAAAGTACACACTGGAAACATGTCCTAGCTAATTGTCTCAACTGTCCTAACATGCCCTCGAACCGTTGCAATTTCTTTGAGGTAGCAACGTGACCTTCGGCCAAGTTCTCTATGAAAAGCCCAAAGAAGTCGTCAGTGAGAGGCCTCAGATGAAACAGAGCGGATCCGGCGAATGCCGAATAGACAAAATAAGACTTCCCTTTTTCTTCAGAAGTTCGCCAAGAAAGCTAATGACATGTGAATCTGCCTGCATGTTCTTTTCGTGATTTCGTTGCAATCTGAGGTCGTGGTGATGACGACTCGGAGGTCCTGGACAAACAGATCCGCTCCGCTGGTGGAGAGGTCTTGGTGAATTCAGCGGATCCCAAGAGCAATTGCATCGAAGAAGGCGGAAAGCTAGACACTTGGCTTAGGCCTTTAGGCCCTGGGGCGTCTGCCTGGCATCGCTTCTACGAGCAAGGACGCTACTAGGGGCTCCTGGCCGTACTACTAGGAGCAAGGACGCTACTAGGAGCAAAGAAGCTACTAGGCCGGCTTTAGGCCCTTGGGCGTCTGAAAAGGGAAGTGATGACTTAGTCTCGTTGAGACTGATCTTGAGACCTTTGGCTATGTTTTTCTCCGAATTCTGTTGTTTCTTGGCATCGCTTAGATCAAGCAGTTCTTTCGACGCGAATTGATAGCAACCGCGTATTTAAAAACTTGTGAAAACGCTTTGCAGCAATATTACAGATATAAATGATATAAAATGATAAATAAGTAATATATATATACTTTCAATATATATATATATACATATGAGCATCCAACAAAACCAGCGAAAACTGAAGTAGTGAGTGGTCCGGTGAACATGGGATAGGAAATCTGCACGAAAGCTGTATAATCGTAGGCTTGTCCCTAGTCTAGATACAAGACTGTCCAGAACTCATACGGATTGAAAAAAGATATAAAAGAGATAAAGTAGAAAAGTACTACTAGCAAGAAGCTACTAGGTCGGAGGCCATCGCTATTAGGTTGGAGGCCATTACTACTAGTAGCAAGAAGCTAGAGTTCATGATTTGTTCTTTGTGTTTGAAGCATTTTGGAATGATAAGGTGTGGGTCTTGCAAGGCTCCGAGGTCTTGGATCTCGTGCAGGACAAGGGATGTAGTCTCGCGGCAACTTGGAGTGAACTCAAAAGGGCAAGGAAAAAAAAGGAAAAGAAACTCCTACTAGTAGTACGGCCAGGAGCCCCTAGTAGCGCCCTTGCTCCTGCAATGCCCTTTGCTACTAGTAGCTTCTTGCTACTAGTAGTACTGCCCTTGCTACTAGTAGCGATGCACTTGTTACGAGTAAAAGGAACCTAATAGCGGCCTCCAATCTAGCGCTCAAAGGCGTTTGTGTTGGGCTCGGAAAGGGGTGCAAGCACTATTCGGGATGTTTAAAGGATCTTTTATAAAGATGTTCAAACCATGTTTAAGATGTCGGATCCAAGGCCTAACAACTGCATTCTCTCAAGCACTTCTAGAGTCTTTCAGATTGGAAGTTCGTTGCTGAGGTACAAACCAGCGATTTATTGGGAGCCAACCAAGCCATCATACAGGAATGGGCCAAAACCGCTCAACCCGGAGTGCCACGCTTCCAGGCGCGGAGCAAGAGCGGCTTCGATTAAGAACATGAAGTACTAGGGACTCCTGGCCTTACTTCTAGGAACAAGGACGCTACCAGGGGCTCCTGGCATCGCTACTAGGAGCAAAGGACACTACTAGGAGCAAGGAAACAAGTAAGTAATAGTTTCGAAGTCTCTGAAAGCGATTCCCTTTCCTCCTAATAGCGTCCTTGCCCAGAGAATGATGTACACTCCAAAGCCAAAACGGACAAAATACAAAATTTACATAGCAATCATGGTCTTGTTTGTTAGGACAACATACTGTTCTGCCTAAAGATGCTAAAGGCCAAAAAGTCACACCCTGTGGCAAGCTGTTGCAAGCTGTCATAATACAAGGAGCCTCTAGTAGCGTCCTTGCTCCTAGTAGCGATGCCAGGAGCCCCTATTAGCTTCTTGTTCCTAGTAGCGATGCTCTTTGCTACTAGTAGCTTCTTGTTCCTAGTAAGCTCACATGTTCAACAGCAAGACTTCAGAAGGTGACGGGAAGCGAAGTCAGCAACATGCAGAGCCAGCTGCTATCCCCCTAGACTGGCAACATCAGAAGAAAGTTTATTGAAACCGAAACGCTTCATTTGTTTGTTCCTATGTTCCTTTCTCCATGTTGCGCATCTTCTTGATGTTTGAAACCAAATTGTACCACTATGCCTTGTTTCCAAAGAAGTACCTGTCGCTTTTCCTAAAGCCTGCTGAGATGCTGCTCAGGAGCCACCCCGAACAGTGGCCAACAAGGCGGTGGCGGTGTGCTTGATCTCTGATGAAAACATTTGGAATGATTGGTTTGGTACACTTGCCATAGCTCCTCATTGCACTCGCATGGTTTGTCGTTGCCGTTGTTAGCCGCAGAGAAACTGCAAGATTTTGTCCCACAAGTCTGTCAAGAGCAGACGCAACCCTTCAAGAAAGCTTGGGCAGGAAGCTCTGTGCTTACGAACAGATTTCGACTCCTTCTACCTGCGGGCAAAGCGTGCCACGGAATATGTGAGCAAGTGCAAAGTCCCCCGCGCTTTAGAAGAGGAGCGAAAACGATTATTATTTGGAAGAAAATGCTTTAAACATGGGAGAAAGGAAGGAAGGAGGGTCTACAGTAAAGGTCGACAACGGTTTTACACGTAAAGAATAAAAGTAACAAGAAGCTAGTAGTAACAAGTGCCACGCTAGTAGTAACAGGTGCCTTACTAGTAGTAACAAGAAGCTAGTAGTAGATGCAAACGGCAGAAACTGAAAAGAGGTGCTTTCCACTTGAGAATCCACAATGTCACTAGCACCGGAGGAGTACCATGGGAGATTGCCTGGAACAAAAAAGAATTGGCACCAGGCCACTTGTTTTGGTGACGCCATTCATTTGCAAGATGAACAGTGCGTTTTGCTGAAGCTTCAGGCAAAAATGCTAAGGGCCCAACAAACAAAGTCACAAGGGTTTTTGTCTTCTTTTTCGATAAAAAAAAGAATGCTCGATAGCTTTCCTTCTTGCGACGTCAGAAACTGAGACGCCAAGGCCTTTGCCCGGGCCTTTGAAAAAGCAGCAGAGATCCGATCTGAGAAGGTTAAAGCGCCCAGCCATGTGAAGGTCCTCACACAGGCGAGCGCGAAACAAAGCAAAAACGTTTAAAAGCAAAGGAGAAATGGGAAAGCTAGTAGCGATGGCCACCAACCTAAGGGGAGAAAAGGACAGGGAATAAACGAAAAAAGAGAAAGCTCTAAAGAAAGAAATAGGGGGTCACACGATCAAGTTGACGAGTTGAGTCCAAAGAAAGCAAGAGCAACACATCAGCAAGGCGGGCAAATATTTCATAAACATTCTGAGTTTGTGTTTGTCTTATGGCTGCTTCCCCACGTGTAGCTCTCCTTCTTCAAAACCACAGACGCGAGGTGGATGATGAGTCTGTGAGGATCATGTGCAACTCACCGTCCTTGGAGAGAGGCAGCACGCTTGCAGTAGGTTTGGAGGCCATTCGGAGGCCGACAGAATCGCTTGGAATTTCAGACCAGACTTGTGAAGCATCTCCGACTCCAGTGGACTCCAGAACAGTGTAGCAGGAAAGCCTTAATCCAAAGGTTCATTTGTCTACAGCAGTTCTTGGCCACTGCACGAAACGCTTTTTTTTTGAAGCTTTTGCCCTTGCCACTCATAGGATTCGAAAGAGCCAGGTTGCAATAGTGAAGTTCAAACCCATAATCTCACTGACGTCCGAGGCTTTTTCTTGAATGCTGCTTGCCGAGAGTGCAACAAAGAGCGGGTCATGCCGACCAGCGGACTGGTGCTCTACCTCAACGAAGGCAAACACTTGGGGCGATCACCGAAATAGCAATGGCCTCCAGCCCAATAGCGATGAGCCTTCAACCTGATGTAGTGAAGTTGTGTGAAGTTTAGTGTGGGTATGGAGAAGCTGCATGGTCGAGCTGATTTATGGTGTGGGAGTCTTGTTTTCCTGCCCGCTGCGTTGCTACGGATAAAGCATAGAATTTCCTGAGACAACTGGGGATCGCTTCCGCCGCCCCTCCCAGCCCTTATGTCTTGAATGAGTTGTATCATTTGAAGCGTTGGCCTCCAACCTAGTAGCGTCCTTGCTCCTAGTAGCAATGCCGTTTGTTCCTAGTGGCGTCCTTGCTCCTAGTAGCGATGCTCTTTGTTCCTAGTAGCGTCCTTGCTCCTAGTAGCGATGCCGTTTGTTCCTAGTAGCGTCCTTGCTCTTTGTTCCTAGTAGCGTCCTTGCTCCTAGTAGCGATGCCCTTTGTTCCTAGTAGCTTCTTGCTCCTAGTAGTAAGGCCAGGAGCCCCTAGTAGCGTCCTTGCTCCTAGTAGTACGGCCAGGAGCCCCTAGTAGCTTCTTGTTGCTAGTAGCGATGCCAGGAGGTCCTAGTAGCGTCCTTGCGTGATTATCCCAGCTAAATCAGATGTGCTCTATCACTTGTGGTGGAGGATTTCATGTGAGATGTGGTGTTACACCAAAGACATCAAACTGTCCCATCATCGTGGATTCTTGCACTGTAAGTGATGGCCTCCAACCTACTAGTGATGGCCTCCAACCGCAAGCTTCTTAGCCTGTCTTTGAAAGATTTGTCCTTGAATATTTGGACAATTCAAGATCGAGCAATGAGCACGCACGCCAGCCTGCTTGTACAGGCATAGAGAGAGAGATGTACATTTGAAGGAACCTTTTACCCCTTTTGACGGGCGTAGGAAGTTGAAGCTTGAATCACTTGATCCTGATTAGCGGCTTGTGGTCTAGCGCGGATACCTAAAGAGCGTACAAGTGACGATTCCCCTAGTCCAGGTATCAAGTAACATTTCTCAAATTTGTAGCTTGTAGCTTCTTGCTACTAACAGCTTCAAAGACATACTTCAAAAACACCCTAGTAGCTTCTAGTTACTAGTAGCTTCAAAGACCTATATACTAGTAGCTTCTAGTTACTAGCCCTTGTAGCTTGTTGCTGAAGACCTTTCGAACAATCAGGTTGGAAACGGACATCATCGGAATCGTAAGGATACGATATTGGGAATGTGTTTTCTTTCTCGTAAATCAGGCAAGAATTCGCTCAGGTGAACCACTCAATAATACAGAGAACTACAAGTTCATGCCAAGTGATGCCGCAATCTTGGAAATTGCTATCTCCAGATCTGTCCAACGCAGGGATTGGACAAGTTTCCAAACTTGTTCGGTGACTGTACGACCCCAATAAGACGCATGCTCTGCAGCTGGATTAAGCAATTTCTGTAAGGACCACAACGATGTCCCAACAGTCCATTCCTGGAGCTTTACCCGAAATTGCGCATAAAAATAAACGGTGTTCATCTGATCGACTTGCGATTGCGAGTCTTTTTTCGCAAGCCTTAAAGAAGAATGCAACTTATTCAAGATTCTTTTAAATTAGTAAGTTTCGCAGTTTCATCAACAATACTATTCCCAAGAAAGAGTAGTAACAAGGACGCTACTAGGTTGAAGGCCATCGCTACTAGGGTGGAGGCCATCGCTAGTAAGAAGGGGCTACAGGGGTCTTATTTAGGAGGCCCTTTATTTGTTGTTTCCTTTTTTTCATCGTCCTTCAAAAAACCGTTTTAGAATTTGCATTGCGTCAGGCACCGTGCTTTGGTCACCCGAAGAGACCATAAAGCTTCATTCCCAGAAGCTGGAGGACATTAAGCAAAAGCACCAGAAGAGCATTCCGTCACCCGGGAGGCCAAGCACCTCTTCAGCTTAGCAGTTTCAGATGTTTCCTCAATTAGTAGTAAGGCCGGGAGCTACTAATAGCATCCTTGCTCCTAGTAGCGATGCCCTTTGTTTCTAGTAGCGTCCTTGCTCCTAGTAGCGCTGCCGCTGCCCTTTGTTTCTAGTAGCGTCCTTGCTCCTAGTACCGATGCCCTTTGTTTCTAGTAGCGTCCTTGCTCCTAGTGGCGATGCCCTTTGTTCCTAGTAGCGTCCTTGCTCCTAGTAGCGATGCCCTTTGTTTCTAGCAGCGTCCTTCCTCCTAGTAGCGCTGCCCTTTGTTTCTAGTATATAGCATCCTTGCTCCTAGTAGCGATGCCCTTTGTTCCTAGTAGCGTTGTTGCTCGTAGTAGGAAGGCCAAGAGCCCCTAGTAGCCTCCTTGCTCCTCGTAGCCCTGCCCTTTGTTCCTAGTAGCATCCTTGCTCCTAGTAGCGATGCCCTTTGTTCCTAGTAGCGTCCTTGCTCCTAGTAGCGCTGCCCTTTGTTTCTAGTAGCTTCCTTGCTCCTAGTAGCGATGCCCTTTGTTCCTAGTAGCGTCCTTGCTCCTAGTAGCGCTGCCCTTTGTTCCTAGTAGCGTCCTTGCTCCTAGTAGCGATGCCCTTTGTTCCTAGTAGCGTCCTTGCTCCTAGTAGCGATGCCCTTTGTTCATTTTAGCGTCCTTGCTCTTCGTAGCGCTGCCCTTTGTTTCTAGTAGCGTCCTTGCTCCTAGTAGTGATTCTGCTGCGTCTAACTTTGTCCAAGTTTGTGCTACTTCGTCCTGGTGCTTCATGTTGCCTTTGGGCACCTGCGGAGGGAGCTGCTGTTTCAGCGCCGCAATGGCACGTGCAAATTGGTCACAGAGGCTGATGGCACTGTGGTGCCAGGGCCAAGTTCTTCAGTACATGTAGTTGCTCTAAAGACAAAGGATAAAGCTTTGAATGAATAGTGTACCAAAATGAAGAATAAACAGGAACCCATTAGACAGGCAAATCTGATAAAACCACAAGATGACGTGGTTTTGTTTGCGAGAATGCTGGCCAGTTCTGAGGTGAGAAGATCTCAGCAGAGAGCTACTTGGGAGCAGCAAGTTTATGCATCGCAATGCCTTACTTTTCTTGCTTCCGACAAGCAAGCTACAGGGCTTGATTGCTTAAGTCGTGAAAGATGTCAATGAGGCGGATCAAAATTCAAATCTCTAAAGCTTGAAGTTTCAGGTCTACTACTCCAAGGATGTGGAGAGTTTGGATGATCCCGATGGCCATTGGGAATGTCCAACCCTGAGATTTGAGTCTTGCAGAGTTGGTAGGTATCTTGTCGATCCTTCACAAGACGGCATTAATCCGTTCAAAAATGTGTTTGTTGTTATTATGTTCTTCCTTCACTGTGGCAGTTGTCGTATCTCTGAGTTGCTGGAGGCTCCATCAAGACGGGTCGGATCTTCTTTGCTCCTTCGCACTATTTCAAAGAAGGAGATTGGTGGCAGGCGGCCCAAGACGCCGACGCCCAAGACACGGCTGAAGACGAGGGTGTGCCTCGGCGTTCGGCAGAGTGGATCCACTTTCCGCTTCAACAGACAAAGCAACCTGACCATTGTAGGAGTTCCCCGTTGTCTTTTTTACATGGCCTTCAAATCCTTGTGATGAAAGTTGTTCTTTTTCCTGAAATGCTAAGGTGTACTTCTTCCAAAGAGCCATCCCACCAAATGTGCCGATTTGTGCAGAGCTGACATCCACCAAGAAGCACAAAGACTGGATCCTTGCTCCTTGGGTCAAGTAAGGTCACTGATTGAGGCAATAAAGTCTCCACAGGAAACAAGCGACACAAGCAAGATCAACGACTGTTCGCGATGTTGTTTTAAGCCCGCTCCCCCTCCTCCCTACTTAATTAAGTAGAGAGTACCTTCTTCATATTAAGGAACTGAGGTAGCTAGTAGCTACAAGTAAGCTACTAGTATGGACGATTTGGCTTCTAGATTTTTTGGGAAACTTAACTAGCCTTTTAAGCACCGTCAGCGGACCTGCTGGTTGTGTCCTTTGTTGGCTTCTTGTTTTTCACACTTCGAAAGCTTTAGGCAGAGATCTTAGACGATCCTCGTTCTGGCAAGTATGTCCGGGTTTTGCTGAGTGCTTCGACAGAATTCTGGTAGTTGTGGTTCTTGTGCAAGCTCCTTGCTTTCTGCACACTGTCACAACGTTTGTCCTTTAAATGTTCACTTTGGGGGTTCCAAATTCCTTTGCTAGGTTGGAGGCCATTGCAAGTTGTTTTCATTCTTCCTAACGTGTCCAAGGACAAACTCGTTGCATCGATCTACCAGAGTTTTCTACACCGATGCCAGCTGAGTCTCGCACAGTCAGACTTTGGAGCGTACCTCACGAAAATGGCAACTTTGCCAAAGCCTTTTTGAAGCCTTCTTGGTGTTTCCCAAGACTTGGTGCATATTGGATTGTTCTTAGTATGTTTTTTGATTGCTTCCAGGCTTTGCTTGCTCTTGGGAGTTATTCTTGATTCAAACGTTGTTTGGAATGTTTCGACTGGCTGGGCATGTTGTAAAGGCGAGCTCGTGGAATCCATGCCACTTGTGCTTGCTCATGATGTCGTCGCTAGTGTTGGCCGGCATTGCAGAGATTTGTGGCTTGGCATTCGTAGTAACAAGGGCATCGCTACTAGGAGCGAGAAAGCTACTAGGGGCTCCTGGCCTTACTACTAGGAGCAAGAAGCTATCAGGAACAATAAATAATATAAAGAGAATTCAGTTTGTATTAGAATTTCATTGGAATTGAAACAAGAAGCTACCAGGACCTTACGCGCGCGGGGGGGGTAGGAACAAGGGCATCGCTAGCTCTCGCGCTTGCTCTCACTTCTGAGGCATTGTACAACAGCAGTGCCAAGTGGTGACCCGGTACCTTGGTCCGGAAACGACCCAAAGGACCGCATTATACGGTGAAAAGGGTCGAATGAGACATGTTTCTGTCTAGATATGTGTCCTTGATCTAGGAACGGTTTGGTCCAGCATTTGGTCATTTGGATTGTTACTTTAGTCCGTTTCTAGAACAGAAAGTAGGATTTGTCCAAAAGGAATACGCTTTTCAAAAGTGTACTATTCTAAAAGGCGTGAGGCTTTCTAGAGGCCCCTTATTGGCCTTCATGAAGTGTGATTTATCTCTGAGATTCACGCAGTGTGTCCTTTTCGTGTGGCCTTTTGAGACAAACTCGGGAGTTTGCAAGGCCAGCGATGTGCAGCCATCCCTTTGCGGAGTAGGCAACACTCCACTGGAAGAATCATCAGCAGCTGAGTTCACCAAGTTGCGGGTTGAAAGGGATACATTTAAGGAGAAAGAAGGAAAGAAAGACTGAAGAAAAGTCCAGAGGTCTACACAAAATGAAATATTACGAAGTCTATGAAGAAGTTTTTTGTGTTGGGGCTTCTTGGTGCCAGGGCTCGCAAGGAAAATTAAAGAGCTGAAGAGCCAACCAACTAATGGAAGAGAACAGCGGCAGGGAATGTTGAAATGCAACCTAAGAGCGATGGCCTCCAACCCACTAGCTTTTTGCTACTACTAGCTTCTTGTTCCTAGTAGTGAGGCCAGGAGCCCCTAGTAGCGTCCTTGCTCCTAGTAGCGATGCCCTTTGCTCCTAGTAGCTTTTTTGTTCCTAAGGGCGATGGCCTCTGTGAAATCGTTAGGTATGGATGCCTGGAGACCTTTGCGTCGTCCAACACACTCCACTGGGCCCTGCTCGGTCTGCTGCAGCTACCGCGCAATGGAGAGCAGCAGAGCCAGGCCGCTCAACTGAACCGTTTCGATACACACCAAAAGTTGTAGTTGGCATTTGTTACTAGTAGCTTCTTGTTCCTAGTAAGGCCAGGAGCGGCTCCTGGTAGCTTCTTGCTCCTAGTGTATGTGTTCGTGATTGTGGGCATGTAAAAGACCCGTTCCTTCGCGAAAGCAACTGGTAGAGGGCAGTTGTACGCGATGCATAGTGTGCCGGTGATAGGTGCCGAGCGGTAACGGTTACTAAGAAAGGTCTCCAGGATGGACTTAGATTTTGAAAAGGCATGAAAAGTCAACTCGGATACACGGAGGTCGCTGTGATCAAAGAAAAGGACAAAAAGGAGGAAATGGTCTATAGAAAAACCAAAACAGGAAAAAGGTTCAAAGAAGGAAAGAAAAAGAGCTGTTACTAGTAGTAAGGCACTTGTTCCTAGTAGTTTCTTGTTACTACTAGTAAGGCACCTGTTACTACTAGCGTGGCACTTGTTACTAGTAGCGAACCTTGTTGAAGTAGCTTCTTGTTGAAAAAGAAAAAGAAAAAGAACGAGACACAAAAACCGAACTTCAGAGTCGGGTATGAGGTTCAAGGTTCTCCATTCACAGAGGGCCGAGTAAAGGCAAATATTCGGACCTAAAGTGTTGATCTTGTTTCATTGTACATATGAAGGGCAGTGAAAGGGTCATGAGGTTTCGGAAACTTCTCAGGGATTTAGTTTGTTGTTCTTTTTTCTGGGCATTCGGCAGGCTGAGCCAGTCTAAGGATATGAGCCATGCCTGGAAGCAGAGCAGTTTATCCCTCGACGAGCGCTGCGCTCTCAGACAAGTGGCGCCTTGGCAAATCTTAAACCCCATCCGACTCTATCTCCAACCCCGTTCAGTCGCAGTGGTTTGCCTTACATGGCCATCAGGGCTCAGAAGGTGCGCGAAAAAGAGAGAGAGAGAGAGAAAGACAAAAAGCAAAAATAAGAATAGACACAAAGAAACATGTAAGAGTTCAAACGTTGTGGGCTGCTTAGCCGGCCTGAAATAGACTTCACTGGGCCTTGCCAGGAAGATCAGGAAGAAAGCCGAAAGCACGTCGTTTGTTTTACATGTTTGCAGTCTTGGCTTATCGAGGTATTGTGTGCAGAGCGCTTGAAGACAGAGTGTCTGGAAGGACTGGGCAAAGTTGCATGAAAGACGAAGGGGACTGGCTACTTCTTTTGAATCCTGAGCAATCCTCCAACCTAGAAGTGATGGCCTTCCCCTAATAGCGATGGACCTAAGCTGTTTTTCCTCCATGGCACTGGTTACTTCTTTTGAAGTGGTTTGTGCGACTCATGATTTCTTTGACTTGCTTTCTGTTTGAAGGCTCAGCACAATGGTCTTGAATGGAGATGATGTTTTTGAAGTGCAATGCCCGGGCCGCCCAGTGGTGAGGGTTGCCGAGATTTTTAGGGAAACTTAAGTTTCTACTATATATTGGGTTTGAGCGTTTTTTGTAGGTTGTTAGGCTAACATTCCGCGTTTTTGTCGGGGCACTTTGTGTGTGTTGTTGTTTTTTGACTTTTCAAGCATTTCACTAGTAATAGCAGTTTCTTGTTACTACAGGTGAAACGATTCCCAAGGAAGCTTCTTGTTACCAGTAGCTTCAAAGACATACTAGTAGCTTCTAGCTCCTAGTGGCTTCTTGTTACTAGTAGTAAGGCCAGGAGCTACTAGTAGCGTCCTTGCTCCTAGTAGCGATGCCCTTTGCTCCTAGTGGCGTCCTTTGCTCCTAGTAGCTTCAGGCCATGCACGGCCTTCGTGCCGTGTGGGCGAGCTCCTTCGTCGCAACGACCCGCTGAGCGCCAAAGACTGCGCTCCGCAGCAGGGCCAGGCCGGTACAGGAGCAGTTCGGCCACACCAAGCTTCGAAAGGGAATCGGAGAAATCCCATTTCCTCAGCAAAGCTGAATGAAAGTGCAAAGAAAAAGAATGCCTGTTCGTTCACAAGTCTACGACGTACTACGAGAGGTAGATTTTAGCAGCCGTAGGATTATGTAGGATTTTAGAAAGTAAAAACTAGGTGTATGTAGGGCAACGGCTAGTTCCGACGACTGCTCGAAGTGCAAAAAGTACAATTCTATGATCATTTTTTAGCTCTTTTCCTGCCAGGTTCTTGCGATTCAAGAAAGGGTCGCTTGCCTAAAGTTTACAGGCCCTTGTCCAGCCATATTGTGAGAAGCGATGGCCTCCAACCTAATAGCGACCACATTGTGCACACATCATGCCATCTAAGGAGCCTGGTGAGTTTGTCGTACTTCTTCGCAAGGCTTCCACATACCTTGTCACTAGCAAAGGCAATGTACAGGCAGGAAGTCCAAGCAGCGTTCTTTGGATTGCTTTGTCTCAGATAAACAAGAGCTTCTTATGTTGCACAAAGGCAAGCAGGCGAGGCAAGCAGAGAAGTCAAAACAAGAAACAGAAATGTGACAAATTGGAAAAGGGGCGAAGAAACAGAAAGAACTCACAATGATCTCATGAGTGATTGCTTTTGTTCATGAGTTATTCAGCAATTCTCAATTTGTTAAGTTTCCCTAAAAATCTCGGAACCAAATCATTAGTGCGAGCGATTCTTCAAGGACGCTCACCCCGCCGTCGCCTTTCGAAAGGAGGAAGGGGGAGCTTCCTTGAAGAAGCGTGAGCTATCCTGCGTCCAGTTACTAGTAGCGTACTTGCTCCTAGTAGTAAGGCCAGGAGCCCCTAGTAGCGTTCTTGTTCCTAGTAGCGATGCCCTTTGCTCCTAGTAGCGTCCTAGTAGCTAATTTAGCTACTGTTTGCTAAGTAACGAACGCTACCTCGTTTGCTACAGCGCAGGTGAAGAGCGGTTCGTTGGTTCAGATGGGCGACGTGGTGGCCACGGAGCCGCAAGTGGTGCCACGAACCTCGGACATCGTCCAGGGCCTTCCACGCATCGATCGCCTCTTCGAGGCGAGACGAAGTCGTCCGCGCGTCGCGTCGCGCATCAGAAACTCATCGAAGAACGAATTCTTGGAAAAAACAGAATATTCGTGGTATTCCTTCATGATTGAGTTTCCGTCTTGACCAAAGAAATAGAATAAAAGAAAGAAAGGTTAAGTCTCCAAATCACTCATGTGAAGGGCTCAGCTTCCTTGAAGAGCTGCTGCTACTTCCTGTTTCACAGAGAAAACTGAAAAGAAATAACTATGAACAGGATCCATCTTGATGATACTGTTTTCACTCCAAATTTTTGAGGCTGCCGGTGGTGAGCACCAAGCTCGCATAGACGAGATTTTCGAAGAGGAGCCAAGAGTCAAAAAGAGATACCAAAGTCTAAAGACCAATACAAAGCACGTCTTTTTAGGTTGGAGGCCATAACCTTAAGTGTCCCTAAAAATCTAGGAACTAAATCATTAGTCCGAGCGATTCTTCAAGGAAGCTTCCTTGAAGAAGCGTGAGCCATCCTGCGTCCTAAGTAGTAGCTACTTGCAGGTATAGCTACCTCTCCCTACTAGAGCTACCTAGCTACCTCACGGCGGAGTTAGGCCTATTAAAAAATGTCAAAATGAGTAATGTGTTCTTCTAGTAACAAGTGCCACGCTACTAGGAACAGGTGCCTTACTAGTAGTAACAAGAAGCTACTAGTAACAAGTGCCTCGCTAGTAGTAACAAGTGCCACGCTAGTAGTGTTCTTTGCTTTCTTTCTGTTTTCTTTCCTTTCGTTCTTTCGTGTCGCTATCTTGCTTCTCTCGGCCTTTGGACATTTTTGGGTAGCCCGTTGGTCTTCCCACTTACTTAAGTAGGCGCCTACTTAATTAAGGGAGAATTAATCTACTAGCAATAGGAAGCTACTACCTACTGGACGCAGGATAGCTCACGCTTCTATTCATTTGGTTCCTAGATTTTTGGGAAGCCCGAAGGGGACTGTAGTATTGGAAATCTGTAGATTTAAACAGGATTCATTGTCCTTTTGTGTTGTGTTTTTGGATAGTGATTATTTTCTTGGTGCAGTCATTCAAAGAAAGAGATTTGCGTAAAGGATTCTTGTGCAGGGACAGTCCCTCATAGAGGAGGAAACAAGTTGACATTGTAAATGGGCTTGCAACGAGAGCAGAGAGCTTGCAAAGGGCAGAAGACTTGGAAAAGAAATAGAGTTGGCTAAGGAAAATTACTTCTTTGAATCGAAACATTTAAAAAGAAGGCGTGGAAAAGAAGATTGTAAAGAAGGAAACATTTAGACAGAAGGCGTGGATGACAAAAGTTTCGACAAGGTAGGATACGCACAAGGCATGGAGTACCTGGATTGAAAACTATCTTTGAGACAAAGGGAACCTGCACGCCTTGAAGATAAAGGGTGGGACCCCTACATGCCTACATGGTGTCTTCTTTAAAGAGAATGATGCTCTTTAAAGAGAAGTAGACTCTTTGAACAGAGAAAGAGCTTTGTTGAAAAGACCTTGCAAGCAAACAACTTATGAAAGGAAGAGCTTTGGTCGAGGGAGGTGCTTCTGAACAAAACTATTGCAAAGGAGTGGACTGGCTAAAGGAGGAGACTTGTATGATAGGGTCGGGATTTTGAATAAGGTATCGAAAAGGGTATGAAGGAGTACGTTGCTCACAGACGTCATAGGAAGCTTCATGACAGATCAAAAATTGTTTGAAAACATAAGATTCTTGTAAGAGAATGATATCCCTACGAAGGCGGTATATTTAAACTAATTGACACTAAGAGTGTTTCATTGCGAATTTTGTTTTTGTCACCTGTGGCCAAATACAAGGCAAAGTAGTTGCTGTTTTAAGGATGATGTTCACAAAGGATGATGCATTTATAAGACAGTAGGCTTCTCAACTCAATAAACCCGTCAAAGTCAGACTTGGACAGAAAACGGGACCCTTACAAATGGAGGAAGCTTTGACAACTAAGCTTTTGTAGAATAATAGCATTTTGTAATGGATTTGCCTTTTCGAAGAAGACTTAGAGACTTGGCAAAGGAAAATGCTTCTTTGAATGGTGATGCATAAGGGCGTAGGGCCTAGGGGAGGAACCTGGAATAGGTAGAAAGCCTGCATGAAGGAGTAAATGTTTATCAAGGATGACACAGTTCATTGATGGGAAGACTACTCAAAGGATGAGGAGCAGAACTGTATCTTTGCGAAGTAAGAGCTTTGCGAAAAGAAAGGGGCGTGAGCACTTGTTTCAGTACATGGTTTAAGTGCAGTATCTTCATTCAAGAGGAAATGTCATACCGTTCAAAAAGAAAAGGAGTTCAGACAGGTGTTTTGGAACAAGTACCGTCACCAGTTGTTTTTGTCAATTCTGGCTCCCAAAGCTGCGGAGGATCCAAAAAGTGCTCAAAAGGTCTAAATATTGAAGAGCTTCAATAGTTTTAAGGGTGAGTAGGCCGCGGTAGGCGCCTAATTAAGTAAGGGCGACTAGTTTGCTACTAGTAACTGGACGCAGGATCGCAGGATAGCTCACGCTTCTTCAAGGAAGCTCCCCCCCCTTCCTCCTTTCGAAAGGCGGCGGCGGGGGGAGCTTCCTTGAAGAATCGCTCGCACTAATGATTTGGTCCCGAGATTTTTAGGGAAACTTAACTTAAGAAAGGCCGGAGTAAGAAGTGGTAGCTGAGTTTTGGAGAGCTTTTGGAACAGCTTTTGGGTTTCTGAGCTTCAATTGGATATAGAGTCCAGTTCTGATACCTTATTGCAAAAACAAAAGAATACAAAAGGGGAAAGGAAAGAGTTCTTTGTTGACACTGGATAGTGACAGTCCATGGTATTTGGTAACATGGATGAAGAGGTGATGAGGTTTGCGTTTGGTGCTGCACACCGATTTTTGCACCCAGTTTGAGGCTTGTCCCACACATGTGAGGAGAAAAAGCACCGAAATGTACTGAATGCAGCCATCCATGCTCGCTTTAGGCGAGAGAAGTCTTGGCATGCATTTTGCAATCTTTCGAAGTTGGATATCCGAATAGCAATGGCCTCCAACCTACTAGCGATGGCCTCCAACCTAAGAGCGATGGCCTCCAGCCTGATTGCGATGGCCTCCAATCTAAGATCCACGGCCTCCAACCCAACATCAATGGCCTGCAGCCTGATAATAATAACCTAAGTTCAAGTTTGCTTTTGAAGATCGAGGTTTGAGGAAGAGCTGGTCAGCGAGATTCAGTCAGCGTATGGCGAGCAGGGTGTGACTAGTCATGGATCCTTCTTGGTGTTTTTGAAGGCATTCTAGATCATCGATGTCCTGTTTGCCGTATGTGTGAAACAAACTTATTCATGCCACCACATTTCATTGCAGACAAGCATGACGTTGCTTCTCCAAAGCTTGTGCCGTTGAAGCTGCAGTCAAGGTGAGCATTCAGAGCAAGCACATTGAGGTGCCTGCACCGATGACGCAGTAAACTAGTGAATTGACCGCCCAATGTCATGGAATGTGACACGTAGTAGCTTCTTGGGCCTCCACCTACTAGCGATGGCCTCCACCTACTAGCGATGACCTCCAACCTAATAGGGTCCTTGTTACTAGCTGAAACAATATGCACCCTCACGTGTCTCATGGCAGGTGGTGGTGCGAAGAATGACCGAAGCATGGAAGCAATTGGTTGGAGAATTGTAGGATCAGCCATTGTTTCTTTTTGGATGTGGAAGCAAAGCACGGAATCGAGTTTCTCCACACCCCCCGGAAGTTTAGGAGACGTGTCAGCTTCTGGTGGGCGTCGGCGGGCTGGCGCCGGGCACCACCTTGGAATACGCCGAGTTGGAAGCGCTTTCGGCGCTGCAACCAAGCGGTGAGGCCAGCCTATAGAGCCAAAGAAGAGGAAAGAAAGTCCAAGTCAGGTGAAGGAAAGAATTCACAATGAGAAACAAAAGGTCCAAGTTGAGCAGGTCTAATAACATTGTTTGCTATTAGGTTGGAAGCCATTACTAGGGTGGAGGCCATCGCTAGTAGTCGCATGTTTGAACACATTGGGCTTCACCGCACGTCTTTGTTTTCGAGGTGAAGGTGCGGCCTTTGGTGAATGGCCTCACCTCTGTGGGCCGAGATAACAGCCATGTTTTGATGGCCATGGGCTTTCGGGAGGTTGACACCGTTCTCACCAATGCAGTTTTAAAAGGAAGCGGTGACTCGACAGAGGGAGAGAGAATAGTAGGTTGAAGGCCATCGCTATTACGTTAGAGGCCATCGCCATTAGGTTGGAGGCCATCGCTATTCGGTTGGAGGCCATCGTTTCTAGGTTGGAGGCCATCGTTTCTAGGTTGGAGGCCATTCCTATTAGTTGTATAAAACTTAATTGATTGCACTTTGAAAAGAAGATCTCGACCAATTCCTCAGGTCGCCATGAATTGGATGGTGTGAAAGAGAACCTCATGATTGGTAAAGCGGTGAGCGTTGGAAGCCACTTTGTTGCAAGTGTTGGCATTTCTTAAACTGGAATCGCTATTAGCTTGGAGGCCATTGCTATTGGGAGATAGAAGCTACTAGGGGCTCCTGGCCTTACTACTAGGAGCAAGGAAGCTACTAGGGGCTCCTGGCATCGCTACTAGTAGCGCTATTATGTTGGAGGCCATCGCTTTTAGTTGCGACTGGTGCAAATATGCCAATAGAACCCAAAGCCTAGTGCAGCGGGTGCAACTTCAACCGTAGCGGACTGCAGGCAAGACTTCAAAGAAGGAGAAGCAAAATATCAAGTTTCAAAAGATCCCTCAGTGGGGATGAAGAAGTGAGAGGTGAGTCAACATGTGTGGAGCACGAAGTGCAGTCATCAGTGTTAAAGTGTCCTTTATTCCTGTACTCGAAGGTTCAAGAATCGTTTTTGATGTGTGACTCATGACACTTTGTGACATTTTTGTGACACGTTGTGACACTTGATACTGTCTTTCGTTACATCCTGCAAGCTGGCAAACTGTACATAGAGCCGAGCTAGCTTCAAGAAAAAAGAGCACAAGCAGCTCCGGTGCAGCCTGAGTGCAGCCCTTAGTAGCGTTCTTGTTCCTAGTAGCGATGCCCTTTGCGCCGCGTCCTTGCTCCTAACTCAGCTTTCAGGCCTGAACCCCCTGAGTTGGAGGACATGTAGACGACAGACGCGCCGACACACCGACGTGGAAGTTCATCATGAGACCCTTTGACGAGTCTCTACGTTTCGAGCTGTTTTGACGGCAGTTTCGATGAGGAATCTGCAGAGAGCATGCTGAGCCGCATGGATCAAATGAAGGCCAGGAGGGATCAGCGGTGGAGAACCATGGAGTGTGGAGACTTTAGGGGAAGAATGGCTTCATGTCACGAAAAAGTAAAGGTATAAAGGCGATTCAGAATGTACTTTTGTACATCTAAGGTTCTGACATGCTGCAAGTTGTTAGTTGGAACAGAAGTCAAGTTGGGAGGCAGAGATGGAAGCTGGAAGAGAGGCAAGACCATCGGTAGGACATTCTTTTGGGTCGCTTTTGAAGTCAGATCACTAGCAACAAGGACGCTACTAGGGGCTCCTGGCATCGCTACTAGGAGCGGTCGGACGCCACTAGGAGCAGCAAAGGGCCTTGCTGCGAACGGAACAGAAATGACATGGTGATTTTAGGTCTGAAGGTCTGAAAGAACTAACCATCCTGACTAATAGTTTCTTGTTACTACTAGTAAGGCACTTGTTACTAGTAGCGTGGCACTTGTTACTAGTAGTGATTTTAGGTCTGAAAGAACTAAAATCACCGTGATGGCATCCAAGAGTCCAACCGTGCTTGCTCCTCATAGCGATGCCCTTTGCTCCTAGTGGCTTCTTGTTACTCGTAGTAAGGCCAAGAGGTTACTAGTAGCGTCCTTGCTCCTAGAAAAAAGGAAAGAAAACACAGACCTTCAAAGGTCTTAGAGACTTGAGGTGAGGCTGTAAGCGCTGTAAGTGGCACTCTTGAAGAGCAACATGCTGGCTTTGCAATCATGTTTGTGGCTGGTGGAAAAGGCAACCCGGAAACAACTGGATGCCCTGCAGAAGCAGCAGGCCGCATGCCGCCAATTGGATCAATGCTGCTCTGAGTTGTGCATGTGTGATCCGATTTGCTTGAAAAAGCTGTACCTCTTTGCTTTGCTGAGCGATTCTTGGCGTCAGGAAGACTTGCAAAGCATCTCTTCACCAGAAGACTTTGTCAGTTTTATGCAAAAGGAGAAGAAACTTGTGAGTGACTAAGAGCCTCAGATGTGTTTCTAGTGTCACTTTGTGCTAGTAGTGAGAGGAGGGGATGACGAATGAAGATATTCAGAGGACTGGACGGGACAAGAGTTGGCAGACACAGAGACACATGGCCAAAAATTGCTTGAGCAGTTCTATTTACTCTTGCAGCATCTCAATGGGTGCTCCAGCATAAATTACACCAGCATAGACCCAGATAGCTAGGCAGAATCCCACGACCTGTTGACATGCGACTGGCTGGAGCAAGAATGCACGCAGCCTGCACAGCCAGCTTGTGGCACCTCCTCGTCTTAAACGCATGCTCAGCCAGCTGCCAGCTCACAGCACCAGCACCCAGGACCAGCACCGACACCCTTTCGAAAGCGCAGCCAGCTCATTCTTATTTGCAGCAAGGGAGGAGAAGCAAGAACCTGGGGGATAACAACGTATGATCTTGCGCATATATGTTTATGCACACAAAAGTATGCGTGCAAACAGCAAAGCCCGTAAGTGTCATTGGCCCAAGGCCAAGCAGTATCCAGCGCCACTATTGATTTTCTAGCACGCTTGAAGCAACGATCTGCAGGACGATATGGCCGTATGACCTTGCGCGTAAAAGTTTATGCGCACAAAAGTATGCGCGCAATAGGCTTCACTCGCCCAAGGCCAAGCAGTATCTAGCACGACTATTGTGTGTGTAGCATGCTGAAAATGCTGGAACAATGGTCGGTTGAGAGCCTGACGTTGTGCATAGAACATTATACGTAGAAAAGTATGCGCGCAAACAGTGACAGAGCTGCCGCCCCCACAGCGCTAATACACAAAGAACACTCAAGCGACAACACCGTATGATGTTGCGTGCATAAGTTAATGCGGCCCATGACTGCTGGCACTTATTGTCAGAAGCGGCGCTTGGTCGCCCTTCACTGCTGCAAGCGGCGGTTTGTTACCCTTCGCTGTCAGAAGCGGCGGTTGTTATCACTTCACTGTCAGAAGCGGGCACCAGCACCGGCACCCGGCACCAGCACCAGCAACCTGTCTCCACCACGTGCACAGCCGGCGCACAGCACCAGCACCAGCACTGGCACCCATTGTCTGGAAAGCGCGCACAGGCAACTCATTGTTATTTGAAGTAAGAACCCCACAGCTTCGCTATCTGGGGAATAAACCTTGATTTGGACAACTTCAATCTTTGTCACCAAACCCATTTAGCGCACGCAAGATGCTGTTACGTTGCACTCAGTAACAAGAAACTATTAGGGGCTCCTGGCATCGCTACTAGGAGCAATGACGCTACCTACTAGGAACAAGGATGCTACTAGTAGCAAGAAGCTATTAGTAACTAGGATGTCCATCATATCGACTTGTTGCGCGGCTAGGATGCTGACCGATCCTTCTCACATGGAGACAATGATGTCAAAATTGGTGGAACGAGCCGGTGATCCAGGCAGGAGCTACTAGTTAGTAGTTTCCTTGCACCGTTCGTAGCGATGCCCTTTGTTACTAGTAGCATCCTTGTTCCTAGTAGTTTGGCCAGGAGCCCCTAGTAGCGTCCGACCGCTCCTAGTAGTGATGTCCTAGTCATGAATAGCCTGAGAATCAACGTCATCGTGGTAAAAGGGCGTCAGCCCAGGACCACCCTTGTTTCTCTCATGTTTGATTTCCACATTGGTCAAGAAGGTGGCTTGAGAAATATAAAAATGATGTCAGCGACCGGGTCAATGTGTGGCTTTCTTTCAGCAATATTTACCTTGTACTGACCGGAAGACAAAATGTGGAATGACTTTTTTTTGGCTGCATCTATGTGCAGTAAAATGCAGCAAAGCATGGTGAGTTGCATTGGTCAACAATCTTCATATTCTCCACAAAAGATCGTTAGTACGTTTTTTGGGTTGAAACTTACAGTCGGAAGAAGACGTACGGGGGGGGCATCTTTTAAGAAGAAGTTCTAAATGATCCACTATGACAGTTCTTTTTACTCCAGGATCAGCCGAAAGAATTGATCACGAAAAAGAACTGGCTATGCCATACCATTATGTATAATCGCTACTAGTGCATTACGACTAGTAACAAGTGCATCGCTACTAGTAACAAGGGCAGTACTGCTAGTGACAAGAAGCTGCCAGTAACAAGTGCAGCTACTGGTACCATTATGTATAATCACGAGCAAGTTTCTCCTAGCCCTGGCCTTTTGGATGACAATGACGACACTCTTTTCATGTCAGGTGAACATTCGCAGAAGCAAAGTACTCAGATAGCCTTTGTCCACTTTGTTGAAGAAAGAGAGCAAAGCACAAAGAGAAACTGGGAACAAGCCAAAATCTAAGAAAGAAAGGTCTAAAGGTCTAGAGAATAACAAGAAGAGAAAATGAAAGAAAACATGTTGAAATGTCTAAAGGTCCCCAATAGCGATGGCCTTCAACCTAATAGCAATGGCTTCCAACCTCATAGCAATGGCCTCCAACAGAATAAAATCAAGATAAAATTAAAGAAAACAATTTCAGGTTGCACAGAGCCTAGGCTCACAGGAGCCGAGTCAGCTGCGAAGGAAGCCGAAGAGCTTCACAAGCGCCAGCGCCTCAGACGACATGTCCATGCCCCTAAAATGGTTAAACCCAATAGAAAGATGTTGAACCATGTAAACTAATAGCGATGGCCTCCAACCTACTAGCTTGCATAAAAACTGCAAAGTGGCCAGCGTGCAGTCTGAATTGACACGTGTGGGATTCAGTTCAAGAGGTCTTCGCGTAGGTGCCAAGAAGTAGCCAAAAGAAGTTCATAGTTTGTTGACTCCAGCGCTATGCAAACTAATAGTAATGGCCTCCAACCCAATAGCGATGGCCTCCAGAAAAAGTGAATAGCTTCTTGCACTATCTTCGCAGATTCCGGGAGTTATGTTGCACTGGAGGCCTGTGCGGTGAAGCTCCAGCAAAGGTTCCAAAAGCGGCATCCAAAACCCCAGAGAAAACTCCAGAGGCAAAGCAGTCACGTGTCTTCTTGACTGTGCAGCACTTATGCATTGGTTGATCCATTCTAGTGTCGAGATGCGCTTTAATGGAATCGACAAAGGACGCTACTAGGGGCTCCTGGCATCGCTACTAGGAGCATTCTTACTACTGAGGCCAGGAGCCCCTAGTAGCGTCCTTGTTCCTAGTAGCGATGGATGCCCTTTGCTCGTAGTAGCGTCCTACCCCCCCCGCGCGCGCGCGCGAAAAGGTCCCAGGAGGATTTTATTTTCTAGTCATTACAAGTGCATCGCTAGTAGTAAGTGCCTTACTGGTAATTAGAATTCCAATTAAATTCGTAACTTGTTACTAGTAGTAAGGCACCTGTTTCTAGTAGCGATGCCCTTTGCATAGTAGCTACTTACCTCTAGCTACGACTTTCGTGAACTTGTTCCATCCGGAAGCCCAACAGGTGATTCTTCCGAATCATCGTTTGCAATACCGGAAAGACGAACAAGGTAACTATTGTGCCGTGGCCTCGGCTGTACTCTAAATCGACTAGGAGCCCATTGGTTTCCATCACTGTTAGGTTGTGTTTTCGCCCATGGTTTTGTTGTAGAAACCTCTGTGAGGCCATGGAGCTTGTGTGCGAATTGCCTGGAGTGCAGGAAATGGGTTGCATCGTACGCTCC